AGCAGGTGGACTGCAGCAGTTGAAGAAGGCTGTCCACCACTTTCTCAAGATCAACTAGGGATGGGCAATAGATATTGGCCAGCCAGTGAAACCCACATCCCACAAACAAATAAAAAAAATCAGTTCCTCTGCCATTTCTTTGTTTCCCATTACTCCTTCTCCAGCCTCATTTTCCAGCGGTCCAATTTCCACTCTTGACTCTCACTTACCTTTTTATGTACCTAAAAAATATTTTGTTATCATTTATATTACTAGTTAGCTTATCCTTACATTCATCTTGACCCCCAACTTGTGGCTTGTTTAGTCAATCTCTGCTGGTTTTTAAAAGGCTTCCCAATCTTCTAGCTTCCAACTAATCTTCACCACATTGCATGCTTTTTCTTTTGTTTTTATGCTGTCCCTGATGTCCCATGTCAGCCACAGTTGCCTTGTCCTCCTCTTTGTATGTTTCTTCTTCCTGGGGATGAATTTTTGCTGTGCCTCCCAAAATACCCCCAGAAACTCTTGCCATTGTTGCTCTACGGTGTTCCCTGCTAGGCTCCCCTTCTAATCAACTCTGGCCTTCCTCACGTCTTTGTAGTTACCTTTACTCAATTGTAATACTATTACATCTGATTCCAATTCTCCCCCTCAAACTACAGGGTGCATTCTAACATATTATCATTGCTGTCTCCTAGGGGTTGCTTCAACTTAAGCTTCATAATCATGTCTGCCTCATTGCACATTACCAAATCCAGAATTGCCTGTTACCTACTAGGTTCTATCGCAAGCTGCTCCAAAAAAAACATCTTGAAGACATTCCACTAATTCCTTTTTTTGGGATCTGCTATTAACCAACTTTTTCCCAGTTCTCCTGCATATTGCAGTATCCCATGATTATTGTAATGCTGCTTTTTTTACATCCTATCTCCTGATTTATTTTCTTCCTCAGGTTCTGACTACTACTAGGAAAAGTTCCATAACTCCCATTAGGTTCTTTCTTCATTTGTGGCTCCTCAACTCTACCCATACAGATTCTATGCTGTCTGACTCTATATCACCTCTTGCTATTAATTTAAATTTATTTTACAAACAAGGCAACCCTGCCTCCTCTGCCATCTGCCTGTCCTTTCAAGAGGACATGTATTTTTGGATATTTATTGCAACTCCAACAACATTCAAGACACTCAACGCTGTCCAAGGTTAAGCAGCCCATTATTTTGCGCTCCAAACCCACCTTTGATATTCACTCCTTCACCATTGATGGCATTGTCTTCACCACGATATAGCAGTGTGTACCATCTAGAAGCAGCAACTTAGTGAAGTTCCCTTGATCATCTAATAAAACAGGGGCAGTAGATGGAAACTCAAATACCTGCAAACTCCCATCCAGGCCACACACTATACTGATTTGGAACAATGCCACAGTTTGATCATTGTTATTGGGTCAAAACCCTAGAACTCGTTTCCAATAGTATTGTTGGCGAATCTACATCTCAAGGAATGCAGAGGTTCAAGAAGATAGCTCACCACTACTTTCTCAAGGCAATAAAGGATGGTCAATAAATGTTGGACTGGCCAGTGATGCCCACATTCATAAACAAACTAAAAAAAACACACACCACTGTCCTCCACTGCTTCGCCTGCACTGTCTAGCTCAAAACAACTGTCCTCATTTGCTTCCACTCAAACCTGTCCAATTGTAGGAAGTGCATTTTTAGAAATGACCTCTCTTCCCATCTTGCACTGTTACCTCAGGAATGTTCCAAGTACCTAACCTTGTCTCCTTCCTAGTCATCATCTACATAATGGCTTTAGCAAATATCATCGAAAGACATACGCACTGCCCTTTCCCAATAGGGAGGAGTGATTTGGGGAAAGGGATAGAATCATAGAGCCATACAGAATGGAAACAGATGCTTCGGTTCAAGTAGTCCATGCCAACCATGTTCTCAAACTAAACTAGGCCCACTTGCCTGCGTTTGGCCCATATCCCACCAAACCTTTCCTATTCATGTACCTATCCAAATGTCTTTTAATTGTTGTAACTGTACCTGCATTTACCATTGCCTCTGGAGTTCATTCCGCATATGAACCACTGCGTGTGTGAAAAAGTTGCCCCTCATATTCCTTTTAAATTTTTCTCTTCACGCCTTAAACATATGCCCCGGGTTTTGAACTCACCTATTCTACGGAAAAAAACCTTTGCTATTCACCTTACCTATGCTGCACATGGTTTTATAAACATCTATAAGGCCACCCCTCAATCTCCTATGTTCCAGTGAAAAAAGTCCTAGCCTATCCACCCTCTCCTTATTAATCAAACTCTACTGGCCACATACTGGTAAATCTTTTCTGAACTCTCTCTAATTTATTAATATCCTTCTTATAGCAGAGCGACTAGAACGTCCTGTACAACCTCAACATGACGTCGCAACTGCTATAATCAATGGTCTGGGCAATGAGGCAAGTGTGCTAAATGCCTTCTTAACCATCCTGTCTACCAGCAACGCAACTTTCAAAGTATGTACCTGAACCTTCGGTCTCTCTGCTCAACAACAATCATCATGGTGCAATGTGACCTCATCCAGTTCAAATAAATTTTACTAACTCAAATAAGGCCATTGACAAGGTTTCAGCAAACAGCAGGTTATTTAGTGATTAAAAAATCTCAACCCAAGCATATTATTGGCATAATGATTTAAACATAACTGTTACAAGGGGAGGTCCATGCTGCTTTCTGCATGGATCCAGATTTGAGATAGAATATGCCAACTTAGTAAATACTGAAGACAGGCTCCTTCTGGCATTCCCTGTGGGTTTGCATAAGTAGGATAAATAGCCACAGGTTCTTGAGAAAGCCTTTGAACCCCTATGTCCTTACCTCAATCTTGAAGTCAATCTTTCAATTTTCCAGATCCCTGCCCTAAACTCGACTTCCTCCAATCTTGTTTACAGCCATCTTTTGTCTTCCATACTCATAATCCTGATTCTGAGCCTCCTCCAGCCAAAGCCCAGAGCTTCTATCTCCCCTGATGATAGCCTGGAGCTACTGATTTATCATTAATTACAACTCTTTTTATTGAAACTTTTCCTTTGTCTGTTTTATCTCTCTCTCTCTTTTACATCCATTTGTAGCCCACAATTTTTATTTTGTTTCCTGTCCAAAATTTAAATAATTTACACCTGCTATTTTTCATATCTCAGTTTGCAGTCTGCATGTCTCAGTGAGCATATTTCAGTTTGATTGGTTGAAAATCTTCACTGTTGTTTGAATTGTTTACAGACTGCATAGATCCTCAGCAGAGGTGGCTGCAGTGAAACTAATGATGAATTAGCAGGAACTTCCACTGATAAGCTTGTACAAGATCTCTGGGGAAATTTTGTCTGTGAGAGCAAAAATCTGATTTATTATACCAAACTTCATCTATTCATTTTACCTTAGCAGGGCACAGTATGTATTACAAAATCACTAATTGCTTGCACTTGGCAACAGTACGAACTGATAAAGAGAAATTTAACAAATTAGACATCTAAAACATGGTTTACAGGCTTAATATCACATCAAGTCATTGTACTAACTGGGCTACAGTCAACAGGTATGTGCTTTTATCAATAACCAAAACGATCAAATCCAAATACTTGTTCTATCATATCCCTGATGACATTCTGCTATGCAAAGCCTCTTTGAGGAATGGATATAAAGTCAATGACTTGCTCATAAATGTACATAATGCTATACAATATATTCTTGTTTTTGTTTTCATCCATTTCCATCTTTTAGATATTCAACTGCACGAGATGATGTGTCAATGTGTAGACCCTACTATCCATGTAGGAATTCACAGATATTTCCCTAAGGCAATGGAGTCTTGCTATAATTGGATAAAATGTTCTTGTGCAGTTGTGAATGCAGTGTCTGAAAACAGGCAATGAGAGAGACACACATGCAAATAGACACCTCTCACTCTGTGATAAGTATTCACATATACAGAACATGTATAGGCAACTTTTCAGAAAATTGCACTTTTCATTTGAAATCCAGAGACTGAGGGGGAGAAATTTACTTACACAGTACCTTCTACCAGTGCAAATGTCGACTTATTTTGATTCCTGAGGGGAAGGCAGCGATGTAGGTTCCTGCCTGATGGCACAATCAACATTCTTGCCTACTACTTCCTTTTTAACTTTTGAATAAATTATCTCAGGTAGGAATACGTCTCTGTTTCCATGACAACTGGAATTCATCTAATTCTAAATGCAACCTTCAGAACATGGAAATAGGGATAGGCCAATCAGCACCCGAAGCCCGTTCCATCATCCATTTAGATCATGGTTGATGCATATTTTAACTCTTAACTTTCTGTCTTGATTGTGTAACCTTAAAAACCTACCCCTACAAAAGAAACTATCAATCACATTTCCAAAATTTTTAAATTTGAGCTAGCCTCAACTGTCTTTTGAATTCCAGATTTTGTAGTATTCAGCGGCATACTAATATAACTATGATGCCATTCCTTGTAGCCTCAACATGAAAGATGCAGATTTTGGCAAGTTGCTTCTCCACTTTCTTAATAAATATAACTTTTTTTTATTCATTCACAGGATGAGGGCATCGCTGACTAGGCCAGCATTTATTGCCCGTTCCTAATTGCCCAGAGGGCAGTTAACAATCAACCATAATGCTGTGGATATGGAGTTATATGTAGGCCAGACTAGGTAAGAATGCCAGATTTCCTTCCATAAATGTCATTAGTGAACCAGATGTATCTTTCTGACAATTGACAATGGTTTCAAGGTCATCAATAGACTCTTAATTCCAGATTTTTATTGAATTCAAATTTCACCATCTGTCATGATAGGATTCAAATCCAGGCCCCCAGAACACTATATGGATCTCTGGATTAAGAGTCCAGTGCTAATACCACTAGGATGTCACCTCCCCTCAAATAGCATTCTCTCAACTCTGCTTATTAAGTGTTCCATTTTCAACTCTTAAGGCTATGATATTTTTCCATGTTTCATGTTTCAATGTAGTCAGCACACTTGTCTGGAAGTCTCGTCATCTGGAAAAAAACATGTTGCGGTTTTCAAGGTAATAGCTTCTGTTTTACTAAATGGGAAGAATAAGCAACTTATAATCATCTCAGTTGACAGAGATGCTAAAAAGTTATCAGGTTAGAAATGAGCAAAGCCACAACCATTAAATAAATACAAACCTTATTTTTATTTCAAAAAAATCTCATTCCTATTAATAGCTATCCACAGCTATGCCACTTCTTATTTCGTGGTGCAGGACGGTTAGGGAAATTTAGTTGTACTAATTTACTCAAGCAAATACTTTCCCATGCATAGTTCCCATGCTGCATGTTATTTTTGCATGGTAGTAACTCAAAAGCATTTGCGCTTTCAGGTGAGATCAAATGATGCTCAGAAATCAGATACACATTTTAATTTCATGCTCCATTAAGTTTTATAGCTTTAGCTGTAATCAACAAAAAGGTCTACACTCTACCCACTTGCACCAAGACATGCGGAGAGAATGCTGTGTTAAGTGAAGGAAGAACCACCACTTACCTCCATCATCCCTGATACTGCACCCTTTATTAATGGTTTCACGATTGAAGGAGTGTAGATCGTTCCATTTTGTGCTGGTTTTCCCTTCATAAAATGTTTTCCTGCTTCATAAATATCTACCTCGATCATTTTCCCCAGAAGTTCGGGTTGCTTAGGCACCAGAACCTTTGCAGGAATGGAGGGGGAGAAAAGACATTAATGTTTACACAGCAAAAATAAGTGACCAAGACGTAGACTTTTTTTTAAACAGAGTTGATGGCTTTAAGCCCAAATGGAAAAGAAACAAGTCGGTACATCGAACAAGAGAGGTATAATTTACTATAATGTACTTGAGATCAATTTCCTTTCACTAATTTCCTTCCTGCATCTTTTCTTTGAGCTTAATATTCCTCTTGTAAATTGCTCATTAGTTCATCAAATAGAAATAGGGACTTTTAGTTCCCTATTTTATCCCCCATAATTGCCACTTTCCTTGAACTTTGAAGAGGTTGAACAGGTTCATTACCAAGCCATAATACAAGCATAGGTTTAATTAAACTAAAACATATGAGCACGGAAAAACAATAGGCACAAAAAGATCTATTAAGATTATCTTATATGTGAAGGTTAGAGCATAATTGCTATACACTAACCTCAATACACCCATCCAACTCCCTCCCTCCAAACAAGTCATATAACCTCCTGAGAGGCTGGCGAAAATCCAAGGTCAAATAAGCATGAAAAAGTCTGTAAAATCCTCTGAATCCCTCAGAAGGTCAAAACCAATCCAGGACATTTTAAGTTCAAGATTCTCTGAAATGAACTTTCACTTCTGAAGGAACCCTGCAGCAACCTCATTCACTTTCAGGACAAAGCAGTCAGCTTGACTGGAATCTATCCACCACTTTGAACATTCATTCCCTCCACCTCCATAGCACCAGTGGTAGCAGTGTATAGCATCTACAAGATCCAATAGGACAACTCACTAAAGCTCCTATGACACCACCTTCCAAACTTGCAACCTTTACCATCTAGATGGACAAGGACAGCAATGCATGGGGATACCACCATCTGCAAGTTCCTGTATAAGCCACATATGATCCTGACTTGGAACTATATTGTCTCTTCTTAACTGTTGCTGGATCAAACATCCTGGAACTTTTTTCTTAACAGCACTGTGGGTATATCTTCACACCAAAGATGGCAACAGTTCATGAAAGCAACTATCACCACATTCTCAAGAGCAGTTAGGGATAGGCAATAAATATTGGCCTAGCCAGTGGCATCCATATCCCATGAATAAATAAAACAATATGACACCACCCTTCAATTTTTCTCCTCTATAGTCTAACATGGAGGAATTATTTCCATTCTTATCTGGTCAATTGTAGGAAGAGCATTTCCTGAAATGAATTCTCTTTCCACTTTGCATCATTATTTCAGGACTTACCCAATGATCTAGACTTTCCCTCCTTCTATTTATCATGTACAAACTGCCCTTCAGCAAAGTTATCCAAAGACATAAGTTTCAATTACATTAACATATACCATGTACAGGATCCACTGACTAAAGCTCCTTTGACTCCCCCTTCCAAACCCATGGCATCTACCACCTACAAAGATCAGGGCAACAGATCCGTTAGAACACCAAAACTGCAAATTTTGCTCCAATCTATGCAGTATCCTAACTTGAAACAATACAGTTATTCCTTCATTTTCAATGGATGAAAGATCCTGGAACTCCTTCCTAACAGTACTTTGGAAGTACCCACACCACATGGTCTGCAATATTTCAAGATGGTGCTTCACCACCACCTCCTCAAGGTCAGTTAAGGATGGGCAATAATGCTAATCCAGTCAGCAACTCCCATATTCTGGGAAAAGTTAGAAAAGTTGGCAGCAAGAACAAAGTCAAAAAATATTTAGAGCAGCCTATGCATCAAACAGTAGCTCATTGAAATCTACAGTAGATCTTCTGCATGTAAATATTGGTGATGCTAATAAAATTTAGTTGGATATTAAACATTATTCTGAAAGAATGACACACTTAGTCCCCACTCTGCAAAGACTGTGGAAAACTCATACTTCAGTTGTTCAGTCTTGTAAATCAGAATCAGCCATTTCCTGTAAATTGGATTTATTTTCTCTGGGATACACAACATTCCTGATTACATGTGACCTTGAGCAAAGATTTTAAATGTTACTTGAAGGGAAACAGGACTGTACTTTGCCAGTGAGGATATTATCAGTACCCATGGAATCATTATCAGAATCACTAACAGACTAGACTAAAATAAAGGAAATCAGAAGACAATAGACACACACATTAACATTTAAACATTTTTCTATCTAGATGAAATGTTGCCTGCAACAGACGAAGACTAAATGGCTGTTAGCATCATGAAAATGTACCTTTCTATATGTTAATAAAATTGTACCAAAAAAAACTGTACCACAAGTGTTGCATCATGAAAATGATTTTTTCCAATCTTTCACTGCCCCCAAACACATTTTCATGAGGCTAAAGACCCGTTAATCTGCTTCTTTCACATACTGCCAACTCAAGTTTACCACAGCTCCTGTTTTCAGTTCTTCACTGTGAAAATCTAAATTTCTTCAACGATTGTTCGCAGATTACAAGGATTGCGTGAATTTAAGAAAGTTTTCTGAATATCACTTTCATACAACACAATTACTTGAATTGAAAAAGGGAAAGTTAAAGAGGGCTCGAGTTTCAATTTTCCTTTTTGGATTTCTGTACTAAGAGATGGGATTAGAGTCTCTTATTAAGATGATTGTATCCTTGATATGAACTACACATCATTAACAAAGAAAGAATGGGTTTGTGCAGCTTTCTTCATGCCAACTCTGCAGACTCATCTGTGGTTTTCTGGTTAAATTATCACCTGAAGAACAGATGCAGATGCACACATGACAGTAAACTTTAAATTCAGACATTTATTTAGTCTAGGGTTTGTTTTCCTGAAAAAACCTTCCTTTTTCATTTTGATATCCAGACTCAACCTGTTGACACTTTAATCAGGAACATTAGATCAGTTGAAGCACTGGTCAAAAACCAGCCTTCAAGTTAACTAAGGTTTGAAAACCCCAATGTTATTATAAACCTGCTGTTAACTGAGGACCCAAATGCTTAAGCATGTGTTTTATGAGACTATGTCACATTCTTTCCCATTTGTTAAATTCACGAATACTTTACAATTGTCATTTCAGTAAAAACCCAATTAATTCTGCATTTATAATCACACCATATATATTTAGAAGACATTGGGACAAATCCTATAAAACAAATCACTTGTATAGGCATGGGTACCGTTGACTGGATTTTACTGTTTTCCTTGGTCCAAGTTATTAGATCTCATCCATGGAGAAAGGCAATATCTTGCAGTGCCAACTTAATATGAATACTTTAATTTACTGTAATACAATTGCGAAAAACTTACTTGCTCATAAAATTTGTTGTGAGCGACATAGTATTGGCCATCAAATGATTCTTCTGTTATCAGAACATGCTGCCTCTCACCTATCTGAAAAATCAATTTAAACACTTTTCAACACGTTATAAAATTAAAGAACAGAATTGAAAGAGTGATTCTAAACATTCTGAAACCTGAACCATTAATTATAGGAGATAGTAGGAACTGCAGACACTGAAGAATCTGAGATAACAAGGTGTAGAGCTGGATGAACACAGCAGGCCAAGCAGCATCAGAGG